TATCTCAGATTCTCCAGCATCTGCAGTTCCTACTATCTCCAATTATGAGGAGAGATTGAACAAACTTAGTTTTCATTTGAACATTGGAGATTGATGGGCGACCTGATAAAATTTTGTAAAATTCTGACAGGCATCAATAGAATGGACCTTCGAGTCTTGATCAGAGGGTAAAAATGTCAGTTACTGGGGTAGATAGATTTAAGATAAAAGTGGGAAAGTTTAATGGAGGTTTGAGACAATTTTTTTTTTTTTTTTTTTTTTTTTTTTACACAGAGGGTGGCAAGTGCGTGGAATGCACTGCCAAAGGAGGTGGCAGAACCAGATACAATAGCAACATTTAAGTGGCATCTGGATGTATAAATGAATAGGTGGGGAATAGAGGAGTATAGACCGCATGGAGGCAAAAGCTTTTAGTTTAGAAGGGTGTCATGTCTCAATGCAGGCTTATGGGCTGAATGGCCATTTCCTGGGGCTATATTCTTTAACAAATACCACTACCTTGAAAATGTGTCTCACAATATTTGCTCTACTATGTTATAGTTAGGAACATAGGAATTAGGAGCAGGAGTAAGCAATTCAGCCCTTCGAGTTCACTCTGCCATTCAACATGATCATGGCTGAGCTTATCCTGGTCTCAACTCCACTTTTCTGCCTGCTCCCCATAGCCCTTTTCTAGCTTTTCATCAGAAACATATCTACTTCTTTCTTGAATAATTACTGGATGTTAACATATTTTAGATCTTGGGTGGGGTGAACTGCTGAAAAAGTCAGTTAATGGTTTCTTTACCTAAACAATCACAAAATCTCTTACTGTAGCTGCTTCTTGAGATTGCAAAAGGGAGCATGATCACATGACATTGCATTCCTGTGATGTATGCTGCTTCATTAGCATGTCAGAACTTTACATTGCACTCTTCCCCTCCCTGTCCTCTCTCCTAACCATACAAAACACTCATGGGTCATGGTGTCACTAGGTTGCCAGCATTTATTGCCTGGTCCTAGTAACCACTACCTTCAGGGTAACTGAGTTTATTTCCCCTTTGTGGGAGAATCTCGGACCAGAGGGCATCATCTCAGAATAAAAGAATGCATATTTAAGACAGAGATGGAGGAGGAATTTCTTCTGAGGATGGTGAGTCTATGGAATAATTTACAGCAAACAACCATTGAGGCTGGGTCATTAAGTATATGAAAGGCTAAAATAGACTTTTAATTAGCAAGGGAAGACAGGGTTATGGAGAAAAGACAAAGTGAAATTAATCATTCAGAGCAGCCATGATCTCATTGGTTAGCAAAACAGATTTGATGGGTTGAATGGCCTAGTTCTATATCTCTTAGTTCTTGTAGACTTGAGCACATTCTTCATCAGATTTCTGTGCATGGATTTCATTCAGTCACTGGGTTGTTAGTAGTAGAGTTTTGGTTGATGGTGATGTAACTTGCTTTAAAGAGGTGGAAACTTTTACATCTCCTTGTTAGGCCTTTTCCCCAGGGATAGAGGTCAAAGCATCTTTTAGTTTGATTTGTAGGAACATTGTGATGAAGGGTCATGGTATATTATTTTAATTTGGAAACTTGGGTCCTAAGGTGGACAGTACTATGCATAGCTTGAATTTGGGTCTGTTGTATATGTTTAAAAGGAGAGATAAATTTCAGTTTCTGTCTTGAGTGGTAAAATATGATCTGGAAGTTTGTTTGTTTTAAAATCCTTAGAGTGAATAGTTCAATGCTGAGAAGCAAGGAGATGATGATAGAGGAAAAAAAAGATGAGCTGTGCCTCAGAACAAAGTCCCCTATGACATCTGGAGATGGAAATCTTTTTTAAAAAAAAACAGAACTAGTCAAAAGGTCAGAGTGCATGCAGGCTTCTTTTACAGAAACAAATCAGAGGAAACAAAAATCTATGTTGCTGCTGTTACAGGCCTTAAGTCTCTAAAATAATCAGGACATTGTTTTTGTTAAGTCCTGAGTGGCTTATAGTTAGCAAGAGAAAAGTTCCAGAAACAGAAGGGCATGAAAGGAGATGGAGGAAATCATTATTAAGAAATTAGTTGTGTTAACAGTTTAAGGGTCTCAGCGAGAGATACCAGCTGAAAGATGACGATCAAGTAAATGCAGAGCTGTGACAAAAAGAAACTACTTACAGCCATACTGACTGAAAGCTTATAAAATGGGAGCAGGCTGATCTTTCAATGGGGTTTGATTGTCTGTAAGGCTGTTGAGGGCAAAAGGGTTGAATATTTATATCTGACATTTGTAATAAGACCATTTCAAATAATTCTTGTAGACTGTAGCAGTTTTGTTTCTCCTTTTGTGTAATGTACTTTTAACAAAACAGCAAAGTTAATCAACAGCCTCTGGTCGATATGTTCAGTGACTGATCACCATAGTAAACAAGTTGGTTTCTGACTTGTCTGGTATTACCACCAGCTGTGATCAAAACAATAAAGTACCTGTATCAAACCACGTCATTCTTTGTCCGTAACACTGCACAAGATTTATTTTTACTAAATCCTTAAAACCTGTGTCATTAAGGATTTGTCATCCACCTGTATATTGAAATATAAACTAAGAATCTGCATGCTTCTCAAGTCCATGTAGCAGATAATGCATATCATTGCAAACTCTGTTCAGTATCTGTCAGTGAATGGGATGTGTACTTAACTGTCCCTGCATGGGATAAGAGGAAATACCTCGATAGTTTTTAAACGTGATTATCTTTCTTGTATTCACAATCGTTGCATTCCTGAAGTCAGGAGGAGAATTCTTTCTCCTCTTAAATCTGGAAAATGAATCAACTGATTCATCTGCAAGGTTACACCATTTAGCAAGCCCTGATGTGAAGGGGAATTGGTGCTAGGGACAAGGTTGGCAACCTGGGTGCCCCTGACACTGGTTGGGATAGAGCTGTCTTTGGGCAGCAGCATTTGAGCAGCTCCTTTTCGAATATCCTCTGCTCACCCAAAATGGTGAAGAGGTAGGAACAGGTGCTCTCAAAATGGGTTATTCCACTTTGTTTATTGGGGAATCACACCTTGTAGGATAACTCTGTCAATGAAAACTAAATTTTGCAGCTTGAAATGTTAGAATGCACCTGGATAATCTCAAGAGTGAGCATGCAGAAAGAACTGCAATTCTATCACTAGAACTATCAAAGTCTCCAAATCAACAGCGCTGCTGTCAATAAGACTTGCACTCTTTGGGAGGGGCAGCTGAAGGAATGAGCAGGGTGATATATATTCTCGCCAGAAGACACTATCACAAAGAGAACTAAACACAGGCTTTAAACTGTTCAGTTGACTATTCTCAGAGTTAAAGATCCTCTTACATATCAATAAGACTGACATTTCAGCCAAGAGAAAGTAAACTTTTGGGCTTGCATAACATCTATATTAACCTTGTTCCTGATTCACGGAACCCCACTACAAACTGCATTTGTCATGAAGGTAAGAACAAACTTGAATATACTGCCACCAATCAAAGCGTTTACGTGAAGAATGTGCTTAGATGGCACAGGAATGGCAGTACCCACTACAACAGGTTCTGAAATGTCAACACCTTCGAAGCAAGAGAAAAAAAAAGGCAGTGTGCAAGATGTACACAGATTTCAAACAGACAACTGCTGTCCATGTAGCCTAGAAACTAGGTGGTTTCTGGGAGAATAAACAGCCATCAGATATGGACAGGAGATAGACTGACAAAAAAAAAGTAGTTGTATTTTTAATAAATATAATACAAAATTCCAAGCTCATTGAACAAGGTGTAAAACTTTAAAGCTAAAACCTCAAAATGAAGTAACTCTTTTCTAAAACACTGCTAATTTTTTTTAGTCCACTTTGCAGCAGTGTGCCAACAAACTTTCCGACCCACTTTGTGGCAGGTATGGTAGCATCCACATCAGTCCACTTTTGTAATTAGTTCCTCAATGTATGCATCAAGCTCATCATCTGTGTTAATTTCAATATCCTGTTAAAGCAAAAATAAAGATCAATTACTATTATTCAACACTATATTACACAGACTACATTTTTTATTGCTTCTGTAGCACTCAAGTATCTTACTGAAGTACACAACTTCATGCATGGCAAATACTAGAAGCCTTTAACAAGACTGAAAACAGCCAAGCACAGTGCTGCTTTGGCATGCTGTCAGAGGCAAATTTCCTATTACAGATCATTGGGTGGTACTCGACGATGTGAGCATTTGTTGACTTTCTGCTCTCACTGAGGTCAATTGTGGCTTCTGAGCTTTGATCAGCAACCAGGGAAAAAACTTGAGGTCTAGATGGTTCAGTCAAGACATGTCTTCACCAGCTGAACTAGAGTGAACAGACTCCAAAACTTGATCAACACTAGATGCGACTACCCAATAGGAAGTTCAAAATGGGGTCTGAACAGTCCATTTTAAGAATCGGACGTTTTGCCCATTATCTTTTACTTGAATTTCAACTTCTTTCAAGACAAACTGCTCAACAATCACTGAAATTTTCCCTGTAAAAGATTTTAAATTTGCACGTTTTCCATAAAATTCACCGTCTTAAGGAAAAAAACAAAGAATTGGAGAAAGTCAGCAGATCTGATAGCATTTGTAGAGCATTCTAGTCCAGTATAATTCTGAGTTCCAAACAGAAGCCATATTGGACTCAATATTAACTATTCCTCTCTGTACAAATGCTGCCAGATCTAACTTTCTTTTTATCTTGTTCTCAAGTGTTGTGCATGTACAGTGACTATTTCCACCTATCCGATCTCACAATGCAACAGATACAATTCTGGTCCCATAACATACACATACTAACCTAAACTGAGGGTTCTGAGGAAGGGTCACCGGACCCGAAACGTTAACTCTGTTTTCTCCTTCACAGATGCTGCCAGACCTGCTGAGCTTTTCCAGCAACTTTGTTTTAATTCTAACCTATGTTGACAAGTGATTCCACTGGAATGTTACTAGTTCACAAGCAAGAGCCCAAAAGGCACACTGCCATCTCTGCAAACAACACAGCTTGTTCAACTCCAACCTTTTCCCCAATACATGTGATTCTTTAAAATCTGTACGTAATTACTCCATTTCTTTAGGAAAGCCAAATAGGGGAAAGATCACACCTGAATGTTTCCTGGAACAGTTTGTTCATCAGCTGCAGAAAGTACTGAAGGTAAGTAAATGCTGTGGATTTATTTAGTGCAGTGATGCACGGTGTAAAATTAATGATCTTAAATTGCAATAATTTTGTTATAGAGTCAGACAGCATAGAAACAGACCTTTCAGTCCAACTTGTCTGTGCTGACCAGACTTCTTAACCTGACATAGTCCTATTGGGCAGCATTTGGCCTATATCCATCTAAAGCCTTCCTATTCATATGCCTTTTAAAAGGCCTCCCTCTGGCAGCTCAATCCATACATGTATCACCCTCTGCATGCAAAGGTTGTCCCTCAGATCCTTTTTAAATCTTTTCCTTCACCTTAAACCTATGCTCTCTACTTTTTGGAATTCCCCCACCCTGGGAAAACAATTTTGGATATTCATCCTATCCTGCTTCTCATGATTTTATAAACCTCTATAAGGTCATCTCCCTGCCTCCAGCACTCCAAGGAAAAAATACCCAGCCTATTCAGCCTCACCCCATAGTTCAAACTCTCCAGTCCCAGCAACACCCTTGTAAATCTTTTCTGTACCCTCTCAAGTTTAACAACATCCTTCTTATAGAACAGCAACCAGAACTGTACGCAGTATTCCACAAGTGGCCTCACCAATGTCTTGTACAGCCACAATATGATATCCTAACTCCTATACTCAAATGTTCTGACCAATGAAGGGAAGGGTGCAAATGTCTTCTTCGCCACCCTGTCTACCTGCAACTCCACTTTCAAGAATTATGCACCTGCACCCCTAGGGGTCTCTGTTGACAACATTCTCCAGGGCCTTACCATTAACTGTACAAGTCCTTCCCTGGTTTGCCTTATCAAAAAGCAACAACTCACATTTATCGCAATTTTGTACAATACTTGAGTAAGTGTTAAGTATCAAAGCTTTCAGTGTTGTTTTCATAAAAGAGCTCAATTATAGACAGTGGGTCAAATGGTTTGCTTTGGTGCTATAATTTCTGTAATGAAAATTTGTACTCGAGCTGAGTATTGAGAGATCTAGAAACGGTCTCAACCTTTTCTTCATAGTGCCTCTTGGTGACATTACTGAAGACAGTGTCAGTTTCTGCCAGTATGCTGATGACATGTTGCACTAACTCTCAGCCCACTTACTACTGAAGCCCGAGCACATTTCTTTATCGCTCTCAGATTTTACCTTTCCACTGCTTCCTTTGCCACCTCCAACATATTTAACCTTCATCCAAAATTCTAATAACTATTCTGAGAGATTTTTCGTATTAAAGATGTTACACAAGTGCAAGTAGCTGATGCTGAAGTAGTGTTTGAATTTTACAACCAAATATCAAGACCAACCAAGTTCCAGCAGAATTCAGATTCTCAGTATTGCTCTTTATATTATTACAATAATTATATTAAGACATTCCTTAATAGAGGAGTGCTCAGTGTGACATTCCCAACTGCAACGTTATCCTTGGTGACCTCAAAGTGAGACCGTCTATTTGTAACTGGAACTCAATTTCAGATTTCAATTTAATATTCAGATCTTTTCAGCTTGGGCTCGAAACTACTTTCGGAGTGCAGTACCGCTATATCCAAGCCTTGTTCTTAAGCACTCTATACATAACTCTGAACATTGATATGCTCAATTGGCAGTGTTACCTCTTGTACTTTCCGCAACAGCTCTACAATGTTATTTCGCAATTTACAGAGTTTTTCCTGCGCATCTGTCAGCTCTGCATCATTTTGCTGCAGCTTTTTCTCAGTTGCTCGGACACGCTCTTCAGCCCTTGTCTGATAGGCAGTGCAGAGGTTCTTCAGTCCCTCCTCATACTGTTCAAAATAATCTTTCTGTTTTCACACACAAGAGAAAAAGATAATTTCAGGATAGTAGTTACAGAAAGCAACTTCCTTGGTTTGCAATTTTACCCCATCAAAAACTTCCTGTTCATTTAACGCAATTCCCCTTCTGAATAAAGGAGGTTGTGGGTTCAAATCCCACTCCAGTGACTAGAAAACAAAACCCAAGGTGACACACAGTAGTACTGGGGGTGTGCTGCACAGTCATTACTGATTTAGATCAACACTTGCCACGTTGTAAGTGGTTACCATTTATTATTGCTTTGCTATTTCAAGAGGCTGTTTTCTCCTTGAAAATGTGTTTCAGAATCTTTTCCATTCACCTGAACCACCAAAACAAATTGATGTTTATCTCAAAAACAAAAGATAACACTTCAGTACCCCAATCAAATATGAACCTATTTTATACGCTCAAATCCTGTTGGGGCTTGAACCTATAGACAAGAATGCCATCAACTTAGCTAAGAAAATACTTGTACAAATCATTTTTCCTTCACAGATGCTGCCAGACCTGCTGAGCTTTTCCAGCAACTTTCTTTTTGTTCCTGATTTACAGCATCCGCAGTTCTACGGTTTTTACTTGTACAAATCATACTGGATTTGTATCACTTGAGAAGTCAAGGTAGCAAAGTCTTTAGCACTTGTCAACACATATCCCTCAGTTCTGCAGTACATTAATCGAGTCATTGAATCATAGAGATATACAGCTCAGAAACAGGGCATTTGATCCAACTCATCCATGCTAACTAGATATCTGAAATAAACCTGGTCCCATTTGCCAACAGTTGGCCCATATCCCTCTAATCCAGGTGGCTTTTAAATGTTGTAATTGTACCAGCCTACTCCACTTCTCCTGGCAGCTCATTCCAAACAGCACCCTCTGTATGAAGAAGTTGCCCCTTAGGTTCCTTTTAAATCTTTCCCCCTCACCTTAAACCAATGCCCTCTAGTTTTGGACTCCCCCATTCCAGGGAAAAGACTGTGCGCCTATTTACCCTATTCATTGCTCTCATGATTTTATAAACCTCTAAGATCACCCCTCAGCCTCAAACACTCCAGGGAAAATAGCCCTAGTCTATTCAGCCTGTGACTATAGCCCAAACACTCCAACCCTGGCAACATCCTCGTAAATCTTTTCTGAGCCCTTTCAAGTTTCACAACATCCTTCCTATTGCAGGGAGACCAGAATTGCATGCAGTATTCCAACAGTGGCCTGAACGAAGTCCTCTATAGCCGCAACATTACCTCACAACTCCAATACTCAATGCACTGACCAATAAAGACAAGCATACCAACACCTTCTTCACTATCCTATCGACCTGCTACTCCACTTTCAAAAGAACAATGAACCTGCATTCCAAGGTCTCTTTGTTCAGCAGCACTCCCTAGAACCTTACTAGTAAGTGTATAAGTCTTGTCCTGATTTGTCTTTCTAAAATGCAGCACCTTCACATTTATCTATATTAAACTCCATCTGCCACTCCTCAACCCATTGGCCCATCTGATCAAGATCCCGCTGTACTCTGACGTAACCTTATTTACTGTCCACTACACCTCCAGTTTTGGTGTCATCGGCAAACTTACTAACCATACCTATGTTCACATCCAAATCATTTATATAAATGATGAAAATCAGTGGACTCAGCACCAATCCTTGTGGGACACCATTGGTCACAGGCTTCCAATCTGAAACGGAACCCTTCACCACCACCTTCTGTCTTCTGCCTTTGAGCCAATTCTGTGTCCAAATAACGAGTTTTCCCTCTATTCTGTGTGATCTAACCTTGCTAAAGCAATGCAAAGATATGATGTAAACAATTTGCATCTGTGCGCTAAAACGTACCAGTGGGAATGAAGCCAGCTCTTCTGGTGTCATTGAACTTAACTCCTCCTTTGTTATCCTGTAATTTGGTGGCAGAAAATACCGCAACGCATTTCTAAACAGAAAGGAGAACATTTTAGTAAGCAAACATACTCATCCTTAAACTACAATAATTAAACCAGAAAACAGATTAGCAAAATACCTCTTCTCAGTCACCTGGGAATGTACCGGGTGCTGGTTTCTGAACTGAAAGCAAGTAATCATATAAACACTAACATAGTGGAAATGATGAGAGCGCTCCTGGCCACTTCATTAGCGCACATGTGGTATAACAATGACCCATAAGACCTAGCTGGCTCCATGGAATATGAAGAATTTGCCAATTTCTACTGTCACCACAGTTAGACACATGATCCTTGGATCCAATATACTGTACAACCAAACTGAGAAGTGCATTAAAAAAAGTCACAGTTCCAGCATCTAATCATTACTATGATCCACGGTGGAAAATGGACAAGGGAACACTAAACTGTGTTCTAAAGTACAGTAAGCTATTCATAATCAATATCTAGGACTGATCAAAAATTACTGCATGGGGAAGAGCCAACAGTACATGATGTTTCCCAGAACAAGTCTTAAGTTGTTGACATTGAAAAGCACATTATGGAGATATGTCCCTTCTTGATTTTTCTTTTCAAATCATGAAGATGCCATGATTGATTACATTCATGTTGTTTAAAAGTTTTTACTGACATTGTCTTTGATCTTTGGCATGGATGGTGGGCACATAATGAACCATCATTCTCTCACCTGAAGCTCACCACCAGTGCTTCCACAGTCTCTCTGCTGGTTGTCGGTTGCGTAGTGTCTGGCTCCATCCTTGTACTGTCCGAAGTTGATCCTGTTTCCACAGAGATGTCCTCCTCCACGCCAAGTGTGTCAGGCGTCTGGTACTCTGGAGATGGCGGTTTCATCAGCCTTACATCCATACATCCCTTTTCAACCCTGCAGGAATAAAATATGTCAAATCAAAACAATTAAAACAACTTGCAATCACAAAATATTCAAAGAAAATGACAACTGGTCACAATGACTATCCTCCGTTCGCTGATTGCATAGTCATTAGCTAGTTTTTCCAAAGATAAAGGAACTTATTATGGGCGTCAATGCCAACATTTACGAAGTGAGATTTCTGCACAAGCCAGTCCTGATTTATATTGAATAATGAACCAGGGAAGGACTGGCTAACTAGGCTAGATAGATTAACCAAGATGCATGCAAGTATAGACAGCAACAGAGGCAGGCAAAAACTGATGGAGGGGCATGCCTTGAAGGAAGAATTATGATATAATGCGAACTAAAGAGACAAAACAGATTGAGACCTGTATGTGCTTTATTATGATTTTGCTGATTCTGAATAGATTTAATCATACTCTAAGTCATTTCCAAAATATAATTTAAAATGCCAGTGGAACGTTAACATAACTTCCACTCCATGCGAATTCAGCTAACAGTTGTGTACAGCACTGGTTAGGCTGCACCTGGAGTACAGTACTCGGTTCGATGTAGTACACCAGAAGAACGTGACAATGACCTTGGAAAGGGTGCAGCACAGACTGACAGGAATTATATGTGGACTGAAAAAAAAATCAAGGATAGGTTAAATAGACTGAGGTTGAATTTTCTCAAGTATAAATGCTTACGCAATGATGTAACTTAGGTGCTCAAGAAGATTAAAGGGTACAACAGGATAGACAAAATTATTTCATCTGATTAGGGAAGTCCAGAGCAAGGAGCACAATTTTAAAATTAAGCTAAGTTTGTCAAGGCTGAACACTCTTTACACAAGGGCAGTGGAAGTTGAAGGCTCTCCTTACCTTGGCTGTCGAGGCTAGGTCAACTGAACATTTTAAAAAAATGAGACTGATAGGTTTTTGTTGGGCAAGGATATGAACGAATGTGGAGCCAAGGCAGACAAACAAATTAAAGATGAAGATCAGACACTACGCATTCAGCACTCTTTCCAAATTCTTTTGCTCTTATTTCTCATTATGTCCCAGTTTTATTGTTTAATTTATCAGACAAAAACTGCATGTTTGCAACTTTAGTACCAAAGATGGAATAATGGTCTAATCTCAACAAAGTTCACATCATCAATACAAACATTTACAGAATAACAGTAGGATATACATTCGACTCCATTACAGAAGGCCATGCAGATCAGAGTTATAGTGAGAAGCCATTGCAATTAAAGGTTAGATTATTCTGAAAATGTATTTTCAGTCCATCATATTAAATACTCTTCAAAGCACTGCATTATTTTTGAAAATGACAACTGGAAAAAACAGAGATGGAACAGTCAAGATGAGTAGAGATCAGATTTTTTCAAACTGAGCTATTTAGGTCCTGGGTCAAGAACTTACATTAGACATCACCAAGGTTTAAACAGAAGAAGAGGAGAGAATGAATAAAATGGTGGCTACACAATAACTATCTCAAATTCTAGAGGACACTGGGCTGCAGAGGCAAGGAAAGTAACTAAAGAAAGATGAGGAGGTCCTGCTACAAAGCCCTGGTACAGATATGAGAGATTGCAAGTCTTAATTTCAAAAGAAGGGAGGATAGAAAAACGAGGAAGAATAGGTAGAGTGGTTCCACAAATGGGACACATTTGCTACTCGGGTATTTTCATCGTTTATGTGGCTTCCAAAGGAAAATTGGTTCGTGGACAAATATCTTGCTGCAACAAATTACGGCCCCTACTGAAAATTGGTTTTACGTTATTCAGGGATTACAGATTAAAATAGCATCACTGTGTTTTATGCTGTGGAGAAATGAGTGAGCAGCAAGAAAAGAAACAAAATAATATTCTCACCATCTGTCTCTTGGAGTAGTTGCAGTTGGAACATAATCAAACTTGACCTTCCATCGCACCGACTGCTTGCTTGCTGCAACATCAGTGACTCGGCCCGTATACCATTCCTTATTCACCTTTACTTCTACAAGAAGCCCTCGATCTACACAGGAGTAACAAAAAAAATTAAAAAAGGTGTCGGCTGTTCAAAACATTGAAGGAAATGTTTTGAAAAATATATTACTAGTAACCTTCAGAGTCATATCCCATCTCTTAATATGGCCAATGACAATGTCTTTCCTACTGAACCTTACTGCACGAGTCAGCAGGGTACCCACTTTTTTTCCAACCAGTCAGGCATTCTTTGACATTTCAAGAAGTAATATACTTGATCAGAGAATGGAAATGCATATTCTCACCTTTTGACGTGCTGGCCTCATCCTCCTCCTCAACCTCTCCTCCGCTATCTGAAATCTGTAACAGAACACAGTAAGACTACAGGGGAACACAAACCCTCAGCTTTATAAAAGAAATTGCATCCACCTATAACGAGCCAACAGCTAGGAGTACTGAATTCATTTAGATCCAACAAGAAAAAGGAAAAAATTAACATGCAAGTATTAAGGAGACACCACTGGCATGCCTGCCATGTTGCAACGGTCCAAGAAGAGCAGTTCTAAAAGACCTTTTCCTGACTGTTTTATAGGTTTCTGGGACATTGTACTTGAAGTAAAAAGACTGTTTAACATCAAGCAAAGCTACCTTGGCCTATTTCTCCCCTTTCCCCTCATTAAGTCTCCCAAGACCTAAGAATTGCCTCTATTACCAGCAGTAGACAGTAAATCAAACAGAAAGTGAGGAAAAATAGTTCTAAAAACTACCACTATTGGGAATGGAGGAGTATGAGAGATGAGAGCAAAACCAGGCAACAAGATGCACCCCACAAATGTATGATCAAAAGTGGGGACTCTCAGCATGGAAAAATAGTGACATGTGCCCTATTACTAAATGACCCAACCTGCTGAATATTCAACTTCAAGTCATAGTGTTCAAAGAAAAACATGTGATTGATATCAGCATGGGGAGCTGTAGTTCCATTTTACCAGGAATGCACCAGGTTCCAACCCTGGTCTATGCGGAGTTAGCAGTCTAAGCTGTTAAAATTGTCTTAAACGTACTTTCAGTGAAGAGAAATTGGCAATGTTGTTGTTACCCATCATTTAGCTGGAAATTGTGTGAGAACACTGGATAAGGATTGTCTTGCAGTCAGCTGCAAAAGCACTTCTTGTCTAGGCTGATCTGAATAGTACAATTTAAAGAAAATGGTGACCAGAACCGTAACATGGCCAGCAAAAGTCAGCACCTACAGGAAGCAAAGGTAATGAATAGGGGACAGTATTCTTCAAAGTAATTGAAAGGCTCAGAGACGCCAGAGTGGGGAAGAGGAGTGGATAAACAAGGAGAGTAGATTTACTGAGGGGCTACATGTAAAACAACAGGTTGCCGAACTACCTCCACAACATCGGTTATGTCCTTTTTAAGGCGCTTTGAATCAGAAACCTTTGCAGATATCTTCACTTTCCTTTCTTCCTGCTCCTCTTCCCCCTCGTCTTCCACTTCCTCCTCCTCACTGCTTTCTATTGTTGTATTCCTCTTTCGTGTCCCTGCAGACTATGGAAAGGAGGAGTAATTTTAAAAAACATAAAAATGAGGCTTCTAGAACTAGGTAGTATTGATATAAACCTCCCAACAATTTCCAGACATTTGGAACACTGTTCTGCAAATATTTTGAGTTTGTTGGGAAACGTATATGAATTTGTATGATTCTAACATTTCCCTGGTAGGTTGCTTTGCTTTCCCTCTGGAAGTCTAATCAACACTGCAACCTAGATGAAAGGGAACAGCAAACTCTCCCAAGCCTCAGGTGCAAGCTCCTGCTAAATGCACATAGAGACTAAATCACTTTGTTGGGCTGTCCATTCTCCTTGCTGGATGAAACGCCTGGCTTCTACTTGGCACCTCCTATAAATAAAAATATCTGGTCCAGCATTGGTATGTAAAAATCCATGCACGATCTTCTGCAAACAATGAATTGGAGTTCTTGCTTTAGTACACTTGTGTAAAGTTTTGAAGGCCATCTTCACACACTAAAGCACAAAAATGTTGTTAATAAGTTGTCTGTTTCCTGCTTGGCTGCAGGAGAATTACAAGCAGCTACCAATCTGCAAGTGCCCATCAGACAGCCAACAAAACTCTCAAAGACTCAAGAAGTTAGACAACTTTACTAAACCTTTTACAGGGAGATTTCCGTAAAATAACACAGGAAAGCAGCTGACCATTATGAGAGAATCCAGCCTGAAATATACTGTGAAATTAATACAGGATGCAAGACAAAAAGGCAGTGCCAGCAGAATGGTGAGCAGATAAGGAAAACTAGTCTCAAATGTTAAATACAGCCAAATTTGGCACAAAGCAAAGATTGGAGACTGGCTGATGAAGCAAATGGAAAATGTTAATTGCTGCAACAGGTGTTGATCTGAGGTTCAGTTTAAGACATCTTGTTGGAATAATTAAGGACATATATTCTGCATTCAACTTACAAACTTGACTCAAAATTCAGTTCAACTGCCCACTTCTCAGTGGTTCCTTTAAAGATTAATTTAAAATTATATTAATACCTGTGCTCCCCTACTCAGTATCTCTTTCCTGGGTCCCAAGGTCTTTGCTCCTTTCAACTGTTGACCCTTCATGCTTGCAGAGACAGAAGGAGTATTCCTTGTGGAGGTAGAAGGCTGAGGTCCAACCTTGGAAGAAGTAGGTTTTTGCTTTGCAGACACTGTTGGCCGTTGCTGGGGTCGTCCTGTGTTGATTGCCGCTTTCTTACTATTAAAGCTGGTATGTGTGGTCACGGCTTTGCCCGCAGATCGAGCTGCAGATCCCTTTCGCAGTAAAGCTTGTGACTTTGTTGGAGGTGGGTGACTTGGAGCATTTTTGATTATATCAGCTAGAGGTGGTGATCGTGGCCGCTGGCTACTTGTAGATGTCTGTCCCTACAAAGTAAAATACTACGTTATGAAAATACAAATACAAAGCTTTACCAAGTGGTCATCAGAGCAATTCCAAAAAGTCTTCAAATCACATTTTTTCAAACTGTCCACACTTCTTCCCATCAAGCTTCAAAAGCATACATCACACATGAAGCTAGGTGAGAAAGAAGATTTCACATCTCCCTTCAGTTTTTACTGGCATAGAAGAATAAATTGTGCTGATCTGTCACCATTTATTCTGTTGATCTATAAGAATGAGGTCTGCTTCTCAAGCAACTATAAAAGCCCCTTGTGAAATTTGCTAAGATTTCTAAGTCTAATTCCTAATGATAGAGTTCAGACCACAAAATGGTGCATTTTGCTGCAGACAGTGAATTAGCAATCTACCTTAGAGAGGCCCAACAATAGATAATCTGGGAAGTCCTCACAGAGGTTAAGAGGTTTGTCTTGAAGACTTATCCCATTTAACTCTAAAGTAGCATCCACTATCATAATTGCTATTGATGTAGGGCTATTGGTATGAATACATTCACAGAGCTAGAGATGCTGCTTTTGGTTTCACCCAACTGGCCAATGGTCTTGAATGTTCAAATTTTGATTCTAGCACAATCATTCAGCTGTAGAACTCAGATCCAGACATGCATTCAGAAGCTGAGATGTCCGCCCTAAACAAAAGAACAATTAATCTTGCTTTAAGGAGTTGTTAGGAAACAAGAATACAAAGGTTTGGGGAGAGTTGTTAAAAGACACTACTCCAGTGGCTGCTATTAGATAACAATTAGGGAGGTGCTGATAAAATGACGCAAGGACCATCTGATGGAGCTGTACAACAAGAGCTCGTGTCACGGTGGTAATGGCCCTACCTCTGAACCAGTAAGCTTAGGTTCAAGGTCCATCTGGTGCAGAAGTGTGTAATGACATCTCTGAACAGATCAATTAGAAAATATCGGAAGTTGGTCAGTGGAGAGGAGACACTTGTGATTGGTGTGATGAAGCTAGGTGCCATTCGCTGTACCTTTAGACTAGACTCAAGTTTAAACCTCACTAGGGCATATTAAGAAATTGAATTCAGATAATGCAGTGATACATGGTCTTATATTAGGAAAAAAAAACACAGATTATTGCAACAATCCAATTTACGTGTTTCAGGGAAGAAAGTTTTCCATCTCTACCTAATCTGGCCTAAATGCAGCTGTAACCACACACTGAGGCTAAATTTATGAAACAGTTGTAGCAACTTTTCAGCAGCAAGTGAATGAACAATAAATAGAACTCTGCCAATGACAAGAAGGAATAAAGCATAACAGAAAGAGAACATTATTTGCTGTTTTAGTCTTGGCTACTTTGTTCCTGTGGATGTGATGAAAGCCTGACTACAGAGGCTAAACTGAAGTTGTAAAACAGGTGATAACCAGGGCACTCATCCCAAAAAGAAGACGTTTTCCCTCACTCCCAAGTGCTGACGTGCTCTAGACCAGAAATGAGGCATGAAGCCTTCCAAAAGAAAATATATTCATTTTACACCATAATTGATTGTGGAAACTTAATTTCGAGTTCCATGTAGCTCAATCATCACCTCAAAATAATTCCACCCATTGTTGGGAAAATCCTGAAGTCTATTATAAAGGAAGTAACAACAGGACAGTTAAAAGCGTTTAACATAATCAAACACAGTCAAGGAGTCAGTAAGAACTGAGGATGCTGGAGTTAGAAACAACAGTGTGGAGCTGGAGGAACACAGCAGGCCAGGCAGCATCAAAGGAGCAGGAAAGTTGACGTTTCGGGTTGGGACCCTTCTCAAGAATGACAAATGACAAATTCAATAACTTAAGGGGTGGATAATGACCATTTCGAACAACAAAATGGTCAGCCTCTTCACTGGCACTAGCACCATCAAGCATCAAAATATTGGGTATCGGTGAGCAGAGATTTAACTGAACCAGTCACGCTAACTGCAATTACAAGATTCTGGCAGTAGATTGATGCTCTGCAACAAATAATGTACCTCATCGCTCCTCCGTCGTCAAAGCTCAAGTAAGGAGCATGAGATCATCATTTTCTAACCTTGCACAATTGCAATGTTCCAAAAACTCAACACTACCCAAGATAGAAAATTTGATGGAGTTGCTCTCCTGTCACAAGGCTCAATATTCACCCCCTCCTTCACCAGTGCTCTGGCTGGGTTACAATTTCTAGACTATACTGTATCAAATAACCAATGTCATTTTGACAATATCGTCTCCCTACAATTGCCATCACCCAGCAGGTGAAAAAAAACCAAGTACAAGATCCCCTCCAAATTACACATCATGTCATAAATATGATCACTGCGTTACTACACGCAGCGCATCAACAGCACATCTGCTGGGAATGAAATGGTCAAGGAGAAAGCCCATTGGCATCTTCTGAAAATGCTAGAGATAGATAAGAAAAAAACGTGGTTATGCCAGTGACTGCCACATTTGGAGAGCAAGCCAAAAGGAAAAAAAAATTATCAGGACAATTATGCCACCCCCAGTCACTCAATGACTTTTCCTCTAGCATGAGTAGGCACTGGAAGGAACCTCAATTGCTGTGCTTCAGAATCGTGCCTGAAAAATAAACCATAAATACAGGCTAGAAAGACAAGACAAAGAGGCTGGTGCTTTTTATCCCCTGGAGGGTCAGAGGCTGAGGGGTGACCATATAAAGGTTTGTAACATCGTGAGGGGCATGGATAGGATGAATAGCCAAGGTCTTTTCCCTAGGGTGGGGGAGTCCAAAACTAGAGGGCATAGGCTTAAAAAGGGACCCAACTTGTGTACGGAACGAGCTGCCAGAGGAAGTGGTGGAGGCGGGTACAATTACAACATTTAAAAGGCATTTGGATGGGTAAATGAATAGGAGGGGTTTAGATATGGGCCAAATAGGATTAGGTCAGATTGGAATGTCTGGTCAGAGTGCATGGGCTGCACCAAACAGTCTGTTTCTGTATTGTATGACTCTGACAAGTTGCATAGATACACAATATGGTAAAATTAAAATTCATGGTGTAAAAGCTTTGAACAACAGTTGCAATTTCACATCTAATTCACATACTGTACCCATGAGAAATCCCTACATTATACTGAATTACTATTAAAATTTAAATAACACATAACCCCTAACTCTCCCATTCTTTAGAATCCACAGCATTTGTATGAAACTGGCATTACTCACCTCCAGCAAGGGTTTGCTGCTGACCTCCAGTGGTAATTTTTTTAAATCTGCCTGTGAACGGATAGGCATATTCTTCTGGAAACAAAAAAATTAGAAATAGAAATCCTTCTCCAAAATTAAACAGCAAAAAAAAAAAAAAATCCAACTTAAATGATACAGTCAAAATAAAACAGAAATTGAACAGAAATGTGTGTTCATTTTCCATAATTTTTTTTTCTGAACATTAAATATAAAAACTTCTAAATTCTCTGAAGACATTTTACACTGAGAAAATCAGAAGCATTTTTGTCTTTGATTTAGTGTGGTATTTTGTCCCAATAGTTTTTCATTGTACATACCAACCGCTCTCACACAGCATTTGGTACAAACATTGCAGATCCTGTTTCACCCTGTGCAAGGGGCAGCACAGTGGCTCAGTGATCAGCACTCCTGCCTCACAACACAGGGACCCAAGTTCAATTCCACCCTCGAGCAACTGTCTATGTGGAGTTTGCACATTCTCCCAGTGTTTGCCTGGGTTTATTCTGGGTGCTCTGGTTTCCTCCTACAGTCTAAAGATCTGCAGGGTAGGTGAATTGGCCATGCTAAATTGCCCAGTGTCCATGGATGTGCTGGCTAGATGGATTAACCCAAGGGAAATGCAGGGTTACAGGGATAGGGTCGAAAGGGTGATTCTGGATGGGATGCTCTTTAGAGGGGCGCTGTGGACTTGTTGGGCCGTATGGCCTGTTTCTACACTGTAGGGATTCTATTCTATTCTAAGTGCTTAAGTAATAAAGCAAAATAGTTCAGTTCAAACAGAGGGATTTCCAAATGTGTTTCATTTGTAGTAATTTTCTTAAATCAACAATTATTTAAAAATGTTTGGTCTGAGTGACTGAAAAAGTATTAAACTGTTTAGGGGTTGGAAAAAGTGGACGCTTTTCTGAAATCACCATACCTTTAGTCAGTTGCTCAGCTTCCATGGGGAGTGAGAAAAAGACTGCCCCTTAAGAGTTTGGTTTAATTTAGCATCACAACTATGAAAATCAGTTGCTACTCAGAGATGGCTTAACTTGACAATTAGAACAATTTGCAAATAAAGATAATTACCATAAAGCCTTCATTGTGGCATTCTTACTACTTGCATTTTTTTTTAAACTGTTCAGCTAAGTTAAACCAGGGTACTGACCAACTGAAAAATCAGCAACACAGCTCAAACTACAGGACAAAAAAATCACTTTAGAGTTTGGAGGTAGAATGGGATACAAATAAGAAATTAACATCTTTCTAAACAATTTAGTTTAAAAAAAAACAAACTAAAAACCAAACTAAGGGCCAGTAATTTTTTTTGATGGAAAGACACTTCTTAAAAACTTTTAACTGCTTATCTTGATGAAGAAATTTATGTTGTTAAATAACTGCCAGTGTTCACATCAAAATGAAAAGATTTGTTTTTATAAAGCATATCTCATGAACATAATGTCTCAAAGAGCTTTAAAGCCAAGTACAGCAACTGTATAATGTAGAAAATGTGGTATCCAATTTACTTTCAGCAAGACTTCATAAACAGCAATGTGGCAATACAGAGATGATTCGTTTTGCGATGAGATTGAGGGATAAAAATTTTAGACAGAAGTTGGCAACACCTACTCCTCTTGTTCAGAAAGGGGCTTTGGGATCTTTAACGTTCCCAATTCAGTTTATGGATTTCACATTTAAATTACGTATAATGAAAATTAATATAAATTGTTCTTTTTACACCAAATTCACTTTTATGCACCAATCTTTACCTTCAATGCTTCCAACTTCTTTTGTTGTGCCTGTATTTTCTCCTCATGTGATTTCACCTCTTTTCTAAGTGTCCCTATTGGAACATTTTGCTTCTGTTCTGGAGCATCACACCTGAAGAAAAACAAAGCAACATTGTGTGTTAATGAACAGGAACCGTGCTTTAAAAAGAGTTACACTCAAAGTGAACAATTCCCTTGTGCATCCAATGCCATTTCAAATATATTTTGGCATCATTTCTTTTCCAGGTGCACTGTATTCCATGCGCCCTCAACAAAGTGAGACCAATTACAAAGATGTAAAGTGAGACCAGTTACATTTTGTATAGTTATCCTGCTCTCTGAATTGGATTTTATCTCCCACAGACTCAAGAACTACTGTATCGTCTATCCAACTGCTGGAAACCTATATAGAATATAGGATCATATATCAAGCAGGCTTTTACCTCATTGTGTTTTGAATTTGCCATACATACCGATTCTGTACATGGTCTGGGCTCATGGAACACGTCCAACTGTCCGGATACTCCTTACCAACATCATCCACTCTGTATGGAAGCGTCCTCCATTTTAAACATTGATCTAGAAAGCAAATACAAAGAAGTTAGTTCCCAAAAATGGTTCCTTTTGAAAGGAAATGTTTAATTTCAGTACTTTCATACTGATCACGTTATTTCTGCTTGTCAGTACTATTAATGCGGAACAAAAACAAAGTTGCTGGAAAAGCTCAGCAGGTCTGGCAGCATCTGCGAAGGAGAAAACAGAGTTAACGTTTCGGGTCCGGTGACCCTTCCTCAGAACACTGGGTCACCAGACCAGAAACGTTAACTCTGTTTACTCCTTCACAGATGCTGCCAGACCTGCTGAGCTTTTCCAGCAACTTTGTTTTTGTTCCCGATTTACAGTATCCGCAGTTCTTTCGGTTTTTATCAATGTGGAAGTATTTCAAAATCACCCACTACCATTTCTTTTAAATTTTCCCTAGTTTCCTTCCCATTTAATCTGACCATTAATGCTTCACAGCCTTCTAGCAATTAGGCAACCTGATCTCAGTTACAATTCCTCATTTCAAAGCTTTGACCTTGAACATCAGCAATACTGAAACACGGATTTTTTTTTTTCCTTCTTCAGGATGCCAAAGCATACAAAAGGGACTAGATATCTCTAAATGGTTAGTCAGCCAATTAAAGAAAAACTGTTCTTGTAAGATAACTTAAGAATTTCAGGCAAAAATATTTGCCTTGACAGAATTTAGGAATTAGAGTTGGCTATGTAATTGCGGAACTAGCACTGATGCATTTGTCTTCTCACCTACAATAGTGAAAGAGTGGCAAAAATTCCAACTGCCCCACACCAGCGTAAGAAAATGGAGCTGTGAGCTGTGGTGATAACATTTCATTTGCATTCCTAATCACTTGGGGTATCTGCATATTAGCCTTTGACATTCACATACCATGACACTCAGATCTCTCTGTACCACAAAGTCTTGTGATTTCTTTCCCCCCCGCAAGTAAACATTGTATTTTTCTATTCTGCCTACAGAAGTGGACAAGTTCACATTTTCCTAGATTATACTCTATCTTCCAACTTGCGCTCACTTATTTAACTTATCTACATCCCTTTACAGAATCAGGTACTCCTCACAATTTACTTTCCTATATACAGACAGTTCTGCTGTAACATGTATTTCATCAAAGCGAATTGGCTGTAACATGATTGATGAATAGTGGACGCTGTTTGGACAACACAAACTTTTTGCCATAACAGGTGTAGTGATTTTCTACAGTGATTTCCGTATAATGCGATTTTCTATAGCACAAGCTCACACAAGAACATAACTATTGTGTTATAGCAGAACTACCTGTATCTTTGTCTCATCAGCAAATTTAGGAACCTTTTTTGGTCCTTTCCTCACATTGTTTAAGTAAACTAAAATAGTTAAAGCCGCAGCACTGATCAATGTGGCACTCCACTGATTATAGCCAACCAATCCTAAATCAATGTTACTCATTGCACCAAGAGCTCTTCTTTTACGCAGTAATCTTTCATGTAGTACCTTAATGGACACTTTTTGAAAATCTAACATCACATCAACAGGATCTCCTTCGTCCTTGTTATTTGTTACTTTCTCAAAGAACTCTAACAACTTAATCATAAATGATTTTCCTTTCACAATCCCATGATGATTCTGAATGCATTACGTTTTTCTAAGTGCCATCTACAACTTTCTTTACAGCTTGGAGATAGGCCCTTTGGCCTATCGTGTTCACAGTGGTCATCAAACACCTATCCAATCTAGTCAGGTACTAAAACAGAAAAAAAATGGGCATTATAGCCATTAAGTGACATAGTTTCAAAGTGACCAAAATTGAGAAGTGAATATTCAAGAGTATTAAACATTTTGACAAGAAACGTAGAAGAAAGTGGGTTAGTTCTGTTAGTAAAGAATGAGATCAGTAAAGTGAAATAAATTTATATTGAAAGATCAAGATGTCAGGTAAGTGGGGGTGGAAACAAGAATTACCAAGAGAAAAAAAGTCAATTAAGGGCAATGTTCTCTCTAAGCTGTTGGAACATTCTGCGTATATCAACCGGCATGCCAACGAACAGCTTCCAATTCCTGAAACCGCTGCCGTGAACAGACCTTGGAGGTCTGTGCAGCTGGGGAGAAAAACAAAACATTGCTCATGGGAGTGATTTGTAAGCCCCCAAACAGTGGGCATACTGTAGCACAGTATAAATTAAGAAACAACGGCTTGTAAGAAAAGTACAACACACACAAGCAATTTCAATCATCATATAGATTGGAAAAGTCAAATTGGTATCATAGACTTAAGAATGATTTCATAGACTATATTTCAAACAGCTTCTCAAAAAAGGTTGCTGAACAAGATAGGGAACAAGCTACTTTAATCATAGTAATACGTAATGAGACAGAATTATTTAATAGCCTCAATCTCAGAATTTCTACAGCACAGAAGGTCTTTAGATATATTATCTACATGAGCTCTTCAAATGAGCAACTCATAGCAAAGTATCTTCTAGGTAAGAGTGATCATAACATGATGGATTTCACCTTCAGTTTGAGGACGAGAAACCTAGGTCTGAAATCCAAATCTTGAACTTGAAGATCCATAACAAAGATATGAAAACAGAGTTGGCTAAAGCCAGAGAAAGTACATTAAAATGTAGTACAGTACAATAAGCAGTGGTACATATTTAAGGATATTAAGGATCCTTCTGATTTGCTAGGTTTTTGAAACTGAAATCAAGACCAGAAAAAGTTGCTAGGCAAACATCAGCACAATCCCATAGTCTCTTCCAAAGCCAGGTTTTCAGATAACTAAGGGCAATGGATTTCCTAAAATGTTTCCTTGGCAATTTATCCAAAGTCACTTAACTTTATGTATTTAGCAGGTGGATCACAACCTATGTTAAATGGCTGTCCTCATATTCTAAGAAAACACAAGTTCCCTTCTCCCTTGGTTAAAAACCATGTTTAATTCAGTGTTCAGACAATTTTATATCTTCCAGTTTAACTCCCAGTCCACAAATATAAGAAATACAGACCCAATATCAAACAGTCAACATGGTTTAATAAAGAGAAAAATCATATTTTATAAATTACGTCATTTTTAAAGACTTAAGAGCAGGTTGGAAAACTATAATTACTAGGGTACCATAGCGATCAATATTGGGGCATCACCTACTTATGATCGACATTAACAACTTGGATGAAAGAACCAACTTCACTGTAGTCAAGTTTGTAATAGAAAGACAGACAGTAAAACAAGCTGAGAAGAACACCGTGTGCAAATGGATAAAAATTGTTCGAGGGGGAAAAAAATTGTCTCACGGAGCACAATGTAGGAAAAGATGAGGTTACCCACTTTAGGTAAGAAAAGCAAATACTTCCGAATGAAGACTACGACAAAATGCTACAATTCAATGGGTGCCACATATCTGCTAATATGCATCTCAAAAAGGTAGCATTTCAACTAACTAATGAGACAGTGGAGTGGGGATCGAGTATACAAATAGGGAGGTGTTGAAACCACACGTGGAATACTGTGTTCAATTTTGGTCTGCTTTCTGAAAAAGTGATATACTTTACATTGCCAAATCAGAAAATATTTAGTAGGTTGATTGCTAGGATGAAGGAATTGTTTTATGAAAAAAAGTTGCGCAGTTTGGGCAGATACTCATTGAATTTTACAAGAATAAGAAATGATCTAATCGAAGTACAAGAGTTTCACGGGGCAGGCGGTGAGGATGAATCTGGGTGGGATGCTCTTCGGACAGTTGGTTTGGACTTGTTGGGCCGAACGGCCTGTTTCCACACTGAAGGAATTCTATCAATCAACCAAATTCCAACTTGATTTGTGATTCAGATCTGATCTTTTGGTGTTCCTAAGTATAATGAAGAGTTAACAAAGAAATAGGCAAATGTGTTAAAAGAAATTGACTGGTCAAGTACAAGACTATCATTTTTCAATACAGTTTTTGATAATTACCCAGAATCAAAAGTATACTATAATCCTGAAAAAATTAAACTAGAAATGAAGTAAGGAAAAACAAATTCACCAAAACTGACAGGGGCGAAAAGGAGAAGGGTTTCATTGGGATAAGAAGTTCAGAAAGAGTATTGAGGAAGCAGAGGCACATGGCATAAAAATATGGTGACGAATGTAAGAACTTAACTAAGAATCTTTTTGTCATTTCAACAGCAAGTGGACAGATTAAGGTTGCTGGAAGTCGGAAATAAAAACAAAGTACTGAAGAAACTCAGCATGTCTGTGGAGAGAGGAGCAGAGTTAACATTTTGAGTCCGATGACTGTAGAGCAATATACTAATTTTCTGTATGATCACCTCTTCCAAGTTTTTACAAAGGAGTACGTGAGCAACATGTCCTCCAAAATGAGATAATTTAAGCAGAATTAATTCTAATGCAAACTTATGCTGGGCATGCTGAAAGAGTTGGGCAATTAGGGATGGGCAATAAATGCTGGCCTACTTAGTAGCACTCTTATCCCAGGAGAGAGTAAAAAAAAATTACAGAACGATCCTACTCGACAATCTTCTTGACTTTATTTTTTTTTTGAGGAACTCACAGCTCAAATGGATTACGGAAATCCTAGTGTATCAAAAGATAAATGATCAAGCTCGGTGTGAAGGATTGTTCGTTAAAGTCAAAGCTTTGGGGATTCAGGATCAATAATAGATAAAAATTGACTGACAGTTAAAAAAGAACACATCTTTCTAGATTTGGCTATTCCAGGCTGTCCTCCCATCTTCCACCATCTTGCCTAGAGACCGAAAACACAGGAAAAGGACCATCAAGTCTGCATGCCAGTCAAAAATAACCACCTAACTAATCTAATCCCATTTTCTAGCACTTGGCCTGCAGCATTGCATGCTTTGGCAACCCAAGCACACATCTAAATATTTCTTAAATGTCGAGGGTTTCTGTCTCTACCACCCTTCTAGGCAGTGAGTTCCAGATTCCCATCAGCCTCCGTGAAACACCCCCTCTGAACTTCTTTAATGGGCCCTACACTTTTCATAGCAATCTTTTTGCCTATAATTTACTACTTTTTCCCCTTTATTTTACCTGCCATTATCCTTTCATGCCTGCTTTGCTCCCCTAATTTCCCCTAAGGGGGAGCCAGCCAGTTGGATACAAAATTGAAGGTAGAGCATTCTTTTTTGGTCTGGAGGCCTGTGACCAGTGATGTACCACAAGGATCAGTGCTGGTCCACTGGTTTTCATCATTTATATTAACAATTTGGACTTAAATATAGGAAGTATGGTTAGTAACATTGCAGGTAACACCAAAATAGGTGGTATAGTGGACAGCGAAGAAGATTACCTCAGAGTACAACAGGACCTTGATCAGATCGGCCAATGGGCCAAGGAGTGGCAGATGGAGTTTAATTTAGATAAATGTGAGGTATTGCACTTTGGTAAGGCAAACCAGGGCAGGATTTATACAGCTAATGGTAGGGCCTTGAAATTGGAGTCACAGGTCAACTGGATGGAAAAAGCAGCATCTGGCACGCTTGCCTTCACTAGTCAGAACATCGAGTACAGGAGTTACGATGTCACATTGTGGCTGTATAGCGCATTGGTAAGGCCACTTTTATAATAGTGCATACAATTCTGGTCATCCTTCCCTATGAATGATGTTGTTAAACTTGAGAGCGTGCAGAAAAAATTTTCAACGATGTTGCCAGGAATGAAGGGTTTGAGGTATAGGGAGAGGCTGAATGGGTTAAACCTTCTTTCCCTGGAATGTCAGAGACTGAGGGGTGACCTTATGGACGTTTATAAAATCATGGAGAGGTATGAATAAGGTGAATTGCCAAGGTCTTTGTCTTAGAGTGAGGGAGTCCAAACTTGAAGGCATAGGTTTAAGGTGAGTGAGCAAAGATTTAGAAAAGAACCTGGGCTAACTATTTCCCTACAGAGACTGGTGCATGTATGGAATGAGGTCCCAGAGGAAGTGGTAGAGGTGGGTTAAATTACAACATCTAAAAGGCATCAGGATGGGTTGATGAATAGGATGGGTTGAGGGGGATACAGGCCAAATGCTGGCAAATGGGACTAGGTTAGATTGGGATGACTGGTCAGTGTGGATAAGTTGGACCAAAGGTTCATTTCCATGCCGTACAACTCTATACACTCTGTACTGTAGGGTTTCTCCTAATTTTAAGCCCTCAGCGTCTATCATAAGCCTCCTTTCTTTCCTTTATCCAATCCTGTAAATACAGATATCCGGGGTTTACCAGATTTGATGGCCCTACCCTTTATCTTTATTGGAACATGTTGGGTCTGTACTCTCCATATTTCCTTCTTTACCATGTTCTCACTGCTCTGACACAGGTTTACTTAAAAGTATGGAGCCCAGTCCACCCGGCCGGATCTCTTAATCTAATCACACATCACTCTTGAGCTCACTGACTTATATTGGCTCTTGGATCAGCAAGCTTCGATTTTAAAATTTTCACCTCCCTTTTTACAACCTCCAAGATTGCACAACAGTCCATTTCAGTAATGTCCAGCCATACAAACCTCAAGGATCTCTGCATTCCTCCAATTCTGGTTTTATGCCCAACAGTTCTCACTTGTCCAGTTTTGGCAGTCATGCCTTCAATTGTTTGGACCTTACACTCTGGAATTCCATCTCACTTTCTTCAAAGGTGCTCCTTAAAACCTAGCTTTTTATCTAAGCTTATGATCATTTGTCTCAATAGTTCATGTGGCTTGGTATCAAATTTTGTTTGATAATTACACTTGTGAAATACTTCAAAGTGCTTCAGAGATCAGAGTTAGGATCACTATTGTTTCTAATTTACATCAATGACTTGGATTCACAAACCCAATACATATTACCCAAATTTTCACACAATATCAAACAACTGGGTGCTGTGGATTTGAAGTATGTAGTTCAGAAATTATGATTTGACTTGCACTGAATATATAAATGAACAGAAGAATCCAGTTGAAATTCATACATCTTCTCATGCTCTCTAATTAATCCGAAAATTGCTTCAAACCCAAATTGCAAAGTACGGTAAGAACATACAAGTTCAAACCAATACAAAATCTATTTCGGAACGAGTGGTCAACAAATAGATTTTTTTTCAAAGATAGAGTAGTCAGGACAAAAATTTCAACCACTTAAAAACTGGACACTATACTGGGAGACCACATGGTCACAGAATCTCAATTGTTTTCACCCAAATATAAGCTCTGCATGCCTGCACCAGCTCATTAAATGATCATAACCAATTCAAATCTTCGGCTTTTGCCTCATTATTTTTAATCCAAATAACTACTCAATATCTTAATTGAACCTGCCTCCATACTTTCAGGCAGCGCCTTTTCATACTCTAATTACTCACCAAGTGAAAAAGACTTTCCTCACTTCACCTTTGTGTTCTTTTGCAAATCAATTTAAATCTATGTCCTTTTATTCTTAATCCTTTTAAGAGTGGAAACAGTTTCTCCCCATCTACTCTACACGATCCAGACCACTCATGATTCTGAAGACCTCTATCACATCACCTGTTAGCCAATCCCTCTCCAAGCAGAACAGTCCTAACTGCTTCAATCTCTCCTCATAACTGAAGTTTCTCATCTCTGAAACCATTCTTGTAAACTGCTTCTACACTCTCTCCAATGCATTCACATCCATCCTATCCAGAACTGTATACAATCCTCCAGTTAAGGTCTACAAAGCACCTTATACAAGTTCAACATCACCTCCTTGCTCTTGTACTCTATGCTCCTATTCAGGTCTTTCTGAATTAATAAAACAAAGTAAACAACATGGCCATCTTGGGATATAAATCATTAAGCTGTTTGCTTCTTAAATTGAGGACGTTAGCAATGATAACTAAACATTAATTAACATTGCATCTGAAGCTTTCAGAACTTTTAATTGATATTAGAATTAGAAAACTGATTACTAATTATTTAATACTTCATTTATAACATGGTTTCTTCACAACATTATGTGCAATATGGTGACAAGACATGTTTAGTATTATCAATTTCTTTGAGCAGTTGTATTGCTTGGTTATGAATTTTATTCTTCAATGTGGAACATATCACACTTCCTCATGGCTTAATGAATAATGCAATGTGTGATATGAATTGAGCCATTCAAATCAAGAAATTTTGAGTTTCTATTCTTGATCTGTGCTTAACAATCTGCAGGTCCAGATCAAAATGGCACTCTCAGTCTTCCTGTATTTATTTGAATGGGGAGATAGCAGTGGCAAAGTCATCTAATATTTGGATACTAGTAAGAAACCCTAGTAAAAGCACACATCTTTAGTGGGCAAGAATAAGAGCAGAGCATGGCCAATTAGTTTGCTGACACTCACGATGCAGAACAAGGTCATTTAAGAGCCTTGGAATGACACACAGCACCATCTTTAACGAAGACCTAAGAAAGTTGGGCAACTGGCACGTGCAAATGGATACAGCAAAACACAAATACATCAGCAATTTTACCAGAGTCATTGAGATATACAGCAAGTAAACAGACCCATTGTCCAACTCATCCATGCCGACCAGATATCCTCAATAAACCTAGTCCCAGTTGCCAGCATTTGGCCCGTATCCATTTAAACCTTTCCTATTCATATACCCATCCAGATGCCTTTTAAATGTTGTAATTGTCCCAACCTCCACCACTTCCTCTGGCAGCTCATTCCATACACGCATCACCTTCTGCGTGGAAAAAGTTGCCCCTTAAATCCCTTTTAAATCTTTCCCCTCTCACTTTAAACCTATGCCCTCTAGTTTTGGGCACCCCCACCCCGGGGAAAAGACTTGTCTATTTACCCTATCCATGCCCCTCATGACTTTATAACCCTCTACAAGGTCACCCCTCCGTCCACGACACTGCAGGGAAGTGTAGTGTATTCAGCCCCTCCCTGTTGCTCAAACCCTCCAAACCTGGCAAAATCCTCGTAAATCTTTTCTGAACCCTTTCAAGTTTCACAACATCCTTCCTGTAGCAGGGAGACCAGAACTGCACGTAGTATTCCAACAGCAGCCTAACCAATGTCCTGTACAGCTGCAACATGACCTCCCAACTCCTATACTCAATGCACTGACCAATAAAGAAAAGCATACCAAATGCCTTTTTCACTATCCTATCTACCTGCAACTCCACTTTCAAAGAACCATGAACCTGCACTCCATGGTCTCTTTATTCAGCAACACTCCCCAGGACCTTAGTATTAAGTGTATAAGTCGTGCCCTGATTTGCCTTTCCAAAATGCAGCACCTCACATTTATCTGAATTAACCTCCACCTGCCATTCCTCGGTCCATTGGCCCATCTGATCAAGATCCCGTTGTACTCTGAGATAACCTTTTTCACTAGGAGATAGCAAGAACTACAGATGCTGGAGTCAGAGTCAATACATGGAGTCCTGAAGGAGGGCGTAAACCCGAAAAGTCAACTTTCCTGCTCCTCTAATGCCGCCTGACCCGTTGTCTTCCTCCATCTCCACACTAACCTTCCTCGCTGTCCACTACACCTCCAATTATGGTGTCATCTGTGAACTTACTAACCACACTTCCTATGTTCGCTTCCAAATCATTTATATAAATGATAAAAAGCAATGGCCCCAGCATCAATCCTTGTGGTTCACTGCTGGTCACAGACCTCCAATCTGAAAAGCAACCTTCCAACACCACCGTCTTCTACCTTTGAGCCAGTTCTGTATCCAAATAGTTCTCCCTATATTCCATGTGATTTAACCTTGCTAACCAGTCTACCATAACGAACCTTGTCAAATGCTTTACTGAATGTATAAAGTCAAAGATGACGAGAGCAAAAACATCATCTAATGCTCAAGTTCATTTCTACGTCAGTGAGGTTTTTACCCCCTGACTTATCTCTAACCCAGTTGAGACTTGTTTGTTAAACTTACAAACTTTATGCAAAGACAGCATTATTGGCAAGACGTACCACACTGAATGGTGGTTGGGATTTCCATAGCACGTCGCCTCTTGTATAATGTCTCGTCAGAAGGTGGCTGATTCCAGTTGGCTGACAGATAGCCAAATTCATCCCAGAATTTCAATATTCCCTTCTGCGCTGTAAGCCAAGAGAATTTTTGTTAACATTTTAAAAGATCATAATGTAAAATCACTGTACACTTGATAACAAGAATCACAGAAGTGTGAAAAGCAGAGTATAATTGATAAAAATAACAATAGATTCAAAGATTTACTGGAATTTAGTAAATGTGCTTCCTCAGTGTGGAGTTGCCACCTAGAATCATGCCCAGAATATAGTGCTTGGAAGTCAAATGACATTATTTGGACAGCCTCATGTTGGAGGAATTAACATAAGAAAGAAATGTTATTAACTGGCAAATTATTTGGAAAGAACACAGGTTCATGTTTCAGTCTGGTAAGAGAGGACATACGACTCAGAACAGAAGTCATGTGCCAAAATGTTTTAAGGTTAAAAAAGAGCTATCATAGTTACTTAATGGTCTAAAACAGGCTAAACTGGTTCAGTCAAACCAAAGATAAATTGCTACTTTATTACAATCTGCCAGATACATAGATTACACAGCTCACAGGTAAAGCACATAGCTCACTGACATTTCAAAAAAATGCGGATTGCAATACAACTGGAGGTTTCTTTCTGGTTTTGAACAACTGAAAATGTAACAAAGCATTGAGAAGATAGCTCAAACAAAAAGAAAATTGATTCAAACATTAGCGATGATGTATTAAGTTTTTTCTTACTTTATTACTGCAATGTGTACTGAGGTACAGTGAAAAGTTATGTACTTTACAGGCAGATCGTGCTATACAAGTGCATCAGGGTAACAGAACAGAGTTCAGGATACAGTATTACAGCTGCCAAAAGGTGCAGAGAGAGCAACATTAACAGTTAAGAGGCCCATTCAAAAGTCTGATAATAGCAGGGAAACCGCAGTTCTTGAATCTGTCTGTAAACGTTTTCAAAATTTCTATTTTCTGCCCACCAGTATAGGGTAGAAAACGGTGGTGGAAGGGGTCTTTGATTTAGTATGAATGAAAGGGTTCTTGTCCCTCTCCCACAGAAGAGAAGACAAAATGCTTCAAATCCCAACTGAAAATTAGCATCAAAAACACATGAACCTCATCCCATAGTAACCCACTCACCACAATGCAATTCCAGCTCCCACACTGCATCCTATTCCACAGCTAACAATCAAAATATGATCCCCAGAGCTTAACAAATCTGCACAGAAGGGAAGCAATTATATTTTCAATTGTACTAGTGCTGTCCCTGGTGACATGACTCTGTAATATTAAGTCTGTACATTGTTCAATGAACAAATTAACATCAGCAAGTGTTAATAACTTTGAAAAACATGCAAGAATGATCTTGCAATCCAATCATTTCATTTCCTTTTGTTATGACGAAATGGCTAATTGTGTGAAAATTGACAAAGTCTGCAAGCTGTAGATAACCGTAGAATACTATGCAAACATATGGATTCAAACAATACATTTAATCCAACTCCTACCCAACTCAAGTGAACCTCTGACTGGTTTTATCAGCACTAGTTTTAAAGAAAAACACTAAAGGAAAAAATACACGTTCAAAAAAGTTTAGTGGCAACTGCTCTCCTTACCAATGCCGATGTCTTTCCAGTACTGCACCAAGTGCTCGCCCATGGCTCTCAGAAGATGCCGATACTCCTTGGCATCTGCAAAGTCCTGTTTGTTGTGGGTAGGCTCCAGAACGAGGTATGGGACATCTACCACACCCACCACTCCACCACATGAACTAAAGATAAAAATGATTTTATTTTTGTTTAAAAGCTACAAATATAACTGTCCTTTTTCTTTGGCATATTCTTATTCACAGCTCTGTCATCTCTCTACGCACAATTTGAGATTTCCTTTGCTAACCTTCTGATTTCCACCCACTATAAATTCCAAAAGTTGTTAAAGTCAACACAAGCTGCATCCTGTTCCACAATAGGATCTGCTTACTTGCCCCTACTGTTGTCCTAGCCCCAGGCGGAAGTGAAATTAGAATTCTGGTATTTAGTCGGCATTTTCCTTTATTGTCTAATCGTTTCTCTTCACTTTTCTGCGGTCTTGAGCCTATGCCTATCTTCCCCTTGCTCCATTTTTAAACTTTAATTTTCTTCCCAGGTTCCTCCACTTCTGCAGCACTGTGCTCATCATTGAGCCCCTTTTCAAAGCATACCTATCATTGTCTTTGTAGTGATGCTTAGATAAATGTCAGGTGCTACATTCTGGTAGGGCTAATCAAGGCAGGACTTATACACTTAACGGTAAGGTCTTGGGGACTGTTGCTGAACAAAAAGACCTTGGAGTGCAGGTTCATAGTTTCTTGAAAGTAGAGTTGCAGGTAGGCAGGGTACTGAAGGCGGTGTTTGGATCGCTTGCCTTTATTGGTCGGTATATTGAGAATAGGAGTTGGGAAGTCATGTTGTGGCTGCACAGGGCATTGGTTAGACCACTTTTGGAATACATGTTCAATTCTGGTCTCTCTGCTATAGGAAAAATGTTGTGAAACTTGAAAGGGTTCGGAAAAGATTTACAAGGATCTTTCCTAGGTTGGAGGGTTTGAGCTATATGCAGAGGCTGAATAGGCTGGGGCTATATTCCCCAGAGCATCAGAGGCTGAGGGGTGACTTTATTGTGGTTTGTTAACATCATGAGGGGCATAGATAAGGTGCAGAGTCAAGGTTTTGTCCCCTAGGGCAGAGAAGTCCAAAACTAGAGGATACAGAGTTAAGGTGAGAGAGGAAAGATTTAAAACGCGACTAAGGGGCAACTTTTTCACGCAGAGGGTGGTGTGTGTATGGAACGTGCTGCCAGAGGAAGTGGCGGAAGCCGGTACAATTACAACATTTAAAGGGCATCTAGATGGGCATTTGAATAGGAAGGGTTTAGAGGGATATGGGCCAAATGCTGGCAACTGGGACTAGATTAATTTAGGATATCTGGTCGGGATGGACGAGTTGGACGAAAGGACCTGTTTCCGTGCTGCATACTTCTACGATTCTATGGCTCTATAACTAAACCTCAACAGTAGGCCAGTGCTGTCTATTTCATTCACTGGGTAACTTGGCAATTTATCATATGGGCATATGCACCATTGAATAGGACAAGTTGAGTCTTGACCATGATTCCTCGCATGGATAGCATACATAGCTATATGAACATGATGGAGAGGCATGTAATAATCCCTCTCCTTCTTACCGTATTCAAGCATTTCATTTGCGAAGTCAGAAATCTTAGCAGGTCCCTGGGGAAGTGTAAGTCTATATCAAGAAATTTAAGCCAGTGTGCAGACAATTATCAGGGGACTCACACTCCTCCTTCCAGCTGTGGTCCAACTTTCTCGTACATCTTTATGAGACGACTACAGTTATAAATGAACATTCCATCCAGGTCACGATGTTCAATGTTCACACCAAAAATAAAGCACATCTCCTTTGGCTCTTTCAACGCTCTGTAAGAGTCAGAAATTAACATGTTTTTAAAAATAACTTCATTTCAAAGGATTCTTCTTGGGCAGCCAGCCATGAGACCAAGCAAAACATCTACAGGCAAGTAAGCCCAGAACAGCACTGGTCAGGATCAGGTGTAAAACTTCTAAGACAAAAACAAATTGCTGGAAGTAGTTAGCAGGGCTCACAGCATCTGTGGACCGAGAAACAGAACACTTGCATTTCATCAGAACATCTAATGCCAATATCACCGTTAAAACCCTAACCCTTCAATAGCATAGGGTTATTATTAACCAGAAGCTAAACACCCACCAGTGGGTAATGGCTAAGTTGAGTTCTAGCTTCATTTTTTTTTTTTTTTAAAAAGCATAACTAATTTTCTACTTGGCTTAAATTTAGTATATGAGCTTTTCTTTTGGGGCGGCACGGTGGCCCAGTGGTTAGCACTGCTGCCTCACAGTGCCAGGGACCTGGGTTCAATTCCACCCTCGGGCAACTGTCTGTGTGGAGTTTGCACATTCTCCCTGTGTCTGCGTGGGTTTCCCCCACATCAGTTAGAGGCACTGCACTGCAGTACATTCTTGATGCTGAAAGTTATGTGGAGAATACATTTTTAGGCGTGGTCACTCCACAGCTAAACGAACTGCAGTCAGGGAAGGAATGAGTGGCCAGCAGTCGGAAAGAGGAATGCCCATACAGACAGACAGCCAAGGAAGTCCCAAAGTGCATTTCACTCAAAGATAGTGTGTGTTGATAAACAGTCAGACAGTGTAATCAGAACCCAGCTACACAAAAGGGATCAGACAAAAAAAAAAAGAGGAGCTATAGTTGTGAGGAGACATGACTCCTGAGTGGTGTGCAGTCCACCCCTGGGCCAGGGTCAAGGATGTCACTGAGCAGCAGCAGGGCATTCTGAAGGGAGGCAAACAGTCAAAACTCGTGGTTCACATTGGTGCTAACACCACAGGGACAAAAAAGGATGAGATCCTGCAACAAGCATTGAGGTAGCAGATTGAAGAGCTGGATCCCTGTAATCTCTGCATTACTCTTGGTGCTATGTGCTAGTGACTATAGGAATAGGTGGATAGACCAGATTAATGCATGGCTTAAGAGTTGGTTTAAGAAGGAGGGCTGTAAGAGTCCTGGCTCACTGGGTCTGTTTTTGGGAAAGGTGGGATGTGTTGCATCTCTGCAGGACCAGCAGTTCAATATTCCAAGGTATAGAATCTTCAGGTGAAACATGGAAAGGTGAAAAAGAGATGCTGTAATATTGATCAAGCAGTCAATTACTGCATCAAGCAGAGATGATATCTTAAAGGTCCTTAACTGATGCCACAGTGGTAGAACTTAAAAAGGTGTTTAAAAAAGAATAATTTTCCTAATATTAACTGGGATAAAAGCAATCAATACCAGGATAATACATGCATTTAAGGAAAGAGGGAAAAGTTCAAAGGAGATGTAAGGGCAAGTTTTTACATAGGTAGGAGTCTGGAACGCACTGCCAGGGGTGGTGGAGGAGGCAGGTACAACAGGGGTGTTCAAGGTACTTTTATATAAGCACATGAATATACAAGGAATGGAGGGATATGGACCAAGGGCAGGCAGAGGGGATTAGTTTAATTTGGCGTCATGTTTGGCACAACATTGTGGGCCAAAGGGACTGGTCCTCTGCTGTATTGTTCTATGTTCAAAGCAAAAGGTAAAGTCACCATATTCCTACCAGAACACAGGACTGTTCTCTTATTCATGAGACTGGTGGTGGTTTAACCTGAGGGTCATCACACCTCAGGCAAGGGAGAGGTTGAGAAGGAGAATCCTTCAGGTAACCCCAGCCAGTGCAAGAACTGAAACCACAATATTGGCATCATGTTGCATTGCAAACCAGCCATCTGGCCAAATGAGCTAAGTAACCTGTCAGTAACTGGAATAGACAAAGTGTAAAAGGTTTAAGAGGGGGTGGAATTCTTAAAATGTATCTAAGAGAGCATTTTAAACCAGCATGAATCAATCCTGCAAGATGTGGGGCAGTGCTGGGCCTAAGTCTAGGGAATGAAGATTAGCAGATGGTAGAAGAGAATTTCAGAGTTAGTGGCTAGAATTCTATAAGATTTAAGATAGTCGGGGAAAAGAACAAAGATGGACCAGAAATTTTAAAAATGTGAATTGGCAGGAGGCCTATTTTAATATGATAAGGCCGAATCTGACCAAAGTGGACTGGGAGTAGCTACCTGTAACGAAATATACATCAAAGCAGTAGAAGTCTTTCAATAAGGGCTAACGGGTTCCTGTAAAAGTGAAAAATGGGACCAAATGCAACGCCTCTTCTTTATCAGGCGGCGCAGGAAATTTGGCATGTCCATAAGGAGCCTCACCAACTTCTACAAATGCACCATTAAAAGCATACTGTCCAGACGCATAATGGCGTGGTACGGTAACTGCTCTGCCGAGAACACAGCCCAGACCATCACGGAAGCCAACATTCCATCCATGGACTCCATTTACATGGCTTGCTGCCATAGAAAGGCTGCCAACATCAACAAAGACCCTTTGCACCCCAGTAATGATCTCCTACAACCTCTTCAGTCAGGCAGAAGATACGGAAGCCTGAACACATGCACCAGCAGGGTCAGGAACAGCTTCTTCCCAGCCATTATTAGACTGATGAATAGATTCTGTGAATAACGCTGACATTGATCTCTCCTAGTGCACGCCCTTTGCAATATAACCTGTATGCCTTTTAAGTTTTTTTTACAACTTCTGATCTGTACATCCTTGCTTACTATGATCTGCTGTATTGCTTGTAAACAAAGCTTTCTATTGTACTCCAGTACTCATGACAATATATCAAATGTTCTGGAGAACCCTGGATATTGAGGCAGGTACAGAATGAGATAAGGAAAATTAGGGCAGCTTATCATTGGTACCAAAGGCTCAGAACACCAGAAGCCTGATGCAATAGAAAATACAGGTGGATGTAAAAAACAGTTAGGAAAGTGAAGCGGGGACATGAAAAAAAAACAACTCCTAGGTAAAATAAAGGAAATTCCAAAGTATGCTGGGGCCAAGAGGATAACCAGTCAAAAAGTGGGGCCTATTTAACTGGCAATCTGTAGGAGCCAGATACAGGTGAGGTTTACATCTCCATTCACAATACAGAATACAGATACAGGTATAGAAATCAAGGAAAAGGACTGTGATGATTTGCTTGAACAAATTACAATTGTGGGAGGAGGTATTAGCAATTTTACCAGACTTGAAATTGGTCAAGACCTCAGGCCTAAATGATATGCGCCCCAGGATGCTATGGGAGGTGAGACAGGCAATTGCAGGGCCCTGACATTAATTTTCAAATCTTCACTGGATAGAGGTGGTGCCAGAGGACCAAAAACAAGGGAATCATAAGCCAGCAAGTTTGACATCAGGGGTAGGGAAACTGTTGGGAAAACGTCAATGGACTAGATCAAGCAAGGATAGTCAGCATGACAGCAGGAAACAGAAGTTGGTGGTAGAGTGTTGTTTTTCAGACTGGAGCCTGTGACCAGCCATATTTCACAGGGATCAGTGCTGGGTCCACTGTTTTGTCATTTACATAAACGACTTGGATGAGAATAACGGGAAGCATGGTTAACAAGTTTGTGGATGACACCAAAACTGGTGGTGAAGAAGGTTATCTACAACTGGATCTTGATCAGTTCGGCCAATAGGCTCAGAACTAGAGATGGAGTTTAATTTAAATAAATGTGAGGTATTGTATTTTGCTAAGACAAACCAGGGCAGGGCTGACACATTTAATGATAGGGCCCTGGGGTGTGTTGCCGAACAAAGACACCTAAAGGCAAAGGTGCGTAGTTCCTGGAAAGTGGAGTCGCAGGTAGGCAGGATGGTGAAGTCGGCAATGGGAACACTTGCCTTCATTGGTCAGTGCACTGAGTATAGGAGTTAAGATGTTATGTTGTGGCTGTACAGAACATTGGTGCAACCACTTTTAGAATAATGCATTCAATCATGGTCACCATTCTATAGGAAGGATGTTGTTAAGCTTGAGAGACTGCACAAAAAACTTACAAGCATAAATAAGCATGTTGTGGACTGGTGGGTTTAAGTTATAAGGAGAGGCGGGATAGGCTGGACATTTTTTCCATGGGGTATAGGGGTGACTTTATAGAGGTTTATAAATCATGAGGGGCATAGGTAAGGTGAATAGCAAAGGTCTTTTCCCTAGGGTAGGGGAGTTCAAAACTGGAGGGCATGTTTAAGGTTAGAGGGGAAAGATTTAAAAGGGACCTGAATGGCAACTTCTTCCACACAGAGGGTGGTGTGTATATGGAATGAAATTCCAGAGGAAGTGGTTGTTGCAGGTACAGTTACAACATTTAAAAGACATTTGGACAGGTACATGAATAAGTAAAGTTTAGAGTTACAGGCCAAACACGACCACCTATCCTCTCCTCTATCCATCTTCTATCCGCCTCCCACTCTCTCCCTATTTATTTCAGAACCCCCTTCCCCTCCCCCTTTTCTGATGAAGGGCCTAGGCCCTTCAACGTCAGCCTTTCTGCTCCTATGATGCTGCTTGGCCTGCTGTGTTCATCCAGCCCTGCACCTTGTTGTCACAGGCAAATGGGACTAGTTTAGTTTGGGAAACCTGGTCAGCATAGATAAGTTGGACCATAGGATCTGTTTCCATGCTCTATGACTTCATGACTCTGATCATATCTAACATGTCTAATTGAGTTTTTAAATGGAGGTGACTAGATGGGAGGGTACCACAGAGAATGCAAGCTTCATGGGCATTTGTAGGCTTTTAACAAAAGTTTTACATGGGGAAATTGACCAAGAAGGTAAAAGCACATGAGATTTAGGGCAATTTGGCAAATTGGATTCAAAACTGGCTCAGTGGCAAAAGACAGAAAGGGATGGTCACAGGTTGTGTTTCTGGAAGCCTGTGTCCAGTGACGTGGGGGGTTCTCTGATGGGTCGCTTGCTTCTTGTAGTGTACATTCATGATCTAGATATGAACGCAAGTGGTTTGATCACATGACGTGAAAACTGGTGGTGCGATAAGTAGAAAGGAGAGAAGCCTTAGAGTACAGAACAATGTATAAAGCTGGTTAGGTGTGCAGAGTAATGGCAAGTGGAGTTTAACCCTGAAAGTCTGCGGTGATGCATGGTAAAGAAATACATAATGAATGCTAGGACCCTAGGAAGCACAGATGATCAGTGGCACCTTAGTGTGTACGTCTACAGATCCTTGAGGACAGCAGTACAGGTGAATAAGGTGGTTAAGAAGCATATGGGATACTAACTTCTATTAGTCAAGATAATCACTGAAACAGCAAGGAGAATATGATGGAGCTATATAAAACATTAGTAGGCCACAGCTGTGATACGGTGTGCAGATCTGATCACCACGCTATAGAGAGGATGCAGAGAAGATTCACCAGCTCAAGCTGGAGTGTTTCAGCTTTGAAGTGAGACTAAATAGGTTGGGGCTGTTTCTTTGGAACAGAGAAGGCCAAGGAAAGATCTGTTTGAGGTATATAACATTATGAGGGGCATGGATAGGCTAGATAGGAAGAAACTTTATTAAAGAGATCAATAATCAGGGGGCATAGATTTAAAGGGCAGGAGATGTAAAGTAGTTTTAAGGATTTGTTTTTAAAGAAGTGGTAAGTACCTTGATCACTTTGCTTGAAAAAGTGGAAGAGGTAGGTACTATCACAACATTTAAGAAATGAGGCACCAAGGCACACAAGACTGTGGGCCAAATGATAGAAAATGGAACCAGAGTAGAAAGGCACTTGATGACTGGCATGGACATGACGGATTGAAGGCTTTAAAACCTTTTAGGACTCTATAAATAGTGATTACAACAGCAGGTCTGAGGCTAGGAACTTTGCAACTTGTCACTCACCTGCTGACTCCCCAAAGCCTGTCCACCATCTACAAGACACAAGAGAGGAGTGTGATGAAGTAGTGTCCACTTGCCTGTTTGAGTGCAGCTCCAACAACACTCAAGAAGCTTGACAACAGCCAGGGCAAAGCATTTATTTGATTGGCACATCCAGAAAACATTCACTTCCTTCACCACCAACAGTGTTAACAGTATACACAATCTAAAAAGACATGAAGCAACAACTCACCAAGGCTCCTTTCAACAGAACCTTTTAAACATGTAACTTCTACCACTAAGAAAGACAAGGGCAACATTTGCACAGAAAGTACCACCATCTGCAAATTCCCCTCAAAGCCACACAACATCCTGACTTGGAGCAATATGGTCATTCCATGACTACTCAGTCATACAGCATGGAAACAGACCCTTCAGTCCAATTAGTCCATGCCAACCATGTTCCCAAACTAAACTCGACCTACTTTTCTGCATTTGGCCCATATCCCTCCAAACTTTTCCTATTCATGTACCTATCTAAATGTCTTTTAAATGTTGTAACGGTGTCTACATCCATCACTTGCTTTGACAGTTCATTCCACACACGAACCATTCTGTCTGTAAAAAGAGTTGCCCCTCATGTCCTTTTTATAACTTTCTCATTTCTTATCGACTCATGGAGTCGCACAGCCGAACAGCAAGGAAACAGACCCCACAGCCCAATCTGTTCACGCCGACCAGACATTCCAATCCAATCCAATCCCATTTGCCAACACCAGCCCACAGCTCTCCCACCCACAGATCCATCCAGATGCTCCAAACGTTGCTATTGCACAAGCCTCCAGCACCTCAGACATGTACCACCCTCTCCGCCAGGTGCCCAAAAATCCCTCCACTCCCACCCCAAACCCACACCCTCCAGCCAAGGACCTCCCCACCCAAGGGAAAAGACCATCCATGCCCCCCATGACTGCGCAAGTCTCTACAAGGTCACCCCTCAGCCCCCAAAGCTCCAGGTAAAACAGCCCAAGCCCACCCAGCCTTCCCCCACAGCCCAAAACCTCCAATCCCAGCAACATCCCTGCAAATCCAACCCCTCAAACCCCACAACATCCCCCCAACAGCAGTGAGACCAGAACTGCACACCTGGATCAATATCATAGAACTCCCTTCCTAACAGCACTGTGGGTGTACGCTGGGACTGCTGTGGTTCAAAGTAGCAGTCCACCACCATCTTCTCAAGGGCAAAGTCAGAAATCAGACGACACCAGGTTACAGTCCAACAAGTTTATTTGAAAACTCTGAAAGCTTGTATTTTCAAATAAACCTGTTGGACTATAACCTGGTGCCATGTGATTTCTGACTTTGTCCAGCCCAGTCCAACACCAGTACCTCCACATCATGGCTTCTCAAGGGCAAAGAGACTTGAGCAATAAATGCTGGCCTGGTCAACAAGGGCCATATCCTGTGAATGAACACAAAAACTGAGAATACCTGGAATATATCAGAATTAAGCAGCGCAGGACAAGTAGTTGTGGGGGAGAAAACAGACACAGAAGAGCATGGGACAAAAGGAATGTCTCAGAGTGGGTAGTCAGAAGAGAAGATTAAATTACAAAAAGACAGTGGTGCAAGGCAAAAGGTTATGCTAATAGAACAAGTGATAAAACATAAGTTTGTGTAGAGGAGGTGGAAATGGAGTATCACTACAATAAAACAAAGAACTGCAGATGCTGAAGATCTGAAACAAAACATTAACTCTGCTTTCTCTCCACAAATGCTGCCGGATCGGAGTTTGTCCAGCAATTTGTTTTTGTATTATCATACAAGTTCTCTCCTGAGAACGTCCAGGAATTGTGTGGGTATTAGTTCAGCCAGGATGCTGCTGCCATGCCTCCTGTAGTCAACAGCTTTCCAGTGGAGTGTGTCTAAGTTTGTACATGAAGAATGAGCGCTAGTGCAAAGAACCGTGCGAACATGGAATTAACTCTAGCAAGAAGTCATAAAGATGACGGGATAATGTGTGCATTGCAGTCAGCCACACTGCACTTACAATTTCCTTTTGGAAAAGTGTGCACAACTTCTTTTAAGCAAATTTCACAGCTGCAACACATTTCTGACCAAGGGGGCCATGCTTTGTTCCTACGCACCTCAGGACTGGAATTCTGCTACCTAACCTAAACAGAGGCTGTTTTGAATAGCTGATTTCCCATAGAACTCTCCTGCCAACCCTGCCCCAGGAGTTGCTTGCCACAAAAATTAAAGGGTAAGTTGACAGGTAATGAAATTAGAGCTCAATTAGAGAACAATTTACAATATTTGATTTTATATCAAAGGAAGGAGAATGAGATTTGACAGTATACAATGTCACCTGCATATGACATTGCCTGATGTGAGAAAACTAAAATCTGAAGTATTTAAGTTGGAGTTTTTGTTCCCCCTCATTCCAGCAACACAGACTATGGGACAACAGAAATATTTAAAATTATTTATATTCATGAGTAGATTGGGCAGATGGATGTAGGAAAACGGGAATAGAGAGATACAAAATACATGTAAATCTAGTGATGACGATTTGCTTGCATGACAGGTCAATGCCAACGTGAACTAGTTGGGCCGAACACCCATTTCCATATCGTAAAATTGATGCTTTTCTTCAGATCGCGCCAATGAATCTCTTATATTTGGGCTTTGAACTAACATCTCATCCAAACATGTCACCTTTGTTGGCAGAGAATTCCATTAGTATTGCAACTGAGTAGATGGTACATTCAAGTCCTAGTTATGGCAAGAAGTTTAATCTAACTGTAGACAAAGTGTCAGTGAGCCAGGCCAAGACCTCTGATAATTTAGTTTCTCTCAAAACAAAATACTCAACTAAACCAGAATAAATCAAAATCAGTGCTGAAAGAATGGGAAAGAAGCAAAATAACACATTTCTTGATGTAACACAGAACAATCTTACCACGTAATGTATACCTGAGTTTCGCCTCGTGTATTCGTTTTTTCACATCAGCTTCTCTGCTTAGGTTGAAGGCAGCATCCTGCACCTGTCGTAGATGAACCTGTGAAGTTGAGACAATCTGAATTAGCATGTTTTATTCTTTGGTTGGAGTGGGGGGAGGGACCCCTGAAATTTTTCTACTGGATCTTGCATAGGAAAATACCTAAGGGACCACTTCCTCAAATCATCTTCCAGGATTTAACCATCTTATATTGTACTATTAAATGCTTCAACCTGGCACATGTTAAAAGACAAAGATTTGTAAAGTTCTGACTTTATTTATATACAATTAGATAATTTCAAAGACAAAAGTCCTAAGGCTAACATGTTTTGGATCGAAAATTAGCCTTGGCAAACCCTTGGGCTAAACTTTATGATCGAGCAGTAAATTCAGCCTTTTCATCTTGCAGATCCTTGGTACAACGTTGTCTTAAAGATTCATTAACCATAGCTCTGAGCACTTCATTTTGAATAACCAGATCTCAGATGAAGTCCCGTCCTGTTCTAGGCATCCAATTTTAACATATTAGAAGGTAAAACCAAATCTTCATTTTACTTTTTGAACAAGTTACCAAACAGTTGAAGATACTGCCAGCAAAATAAATTTAACACTGAAGAAAATAGTTAACTGTTTACTTTTACATATAAAAAGACAAATAAACTGCAAGGATTTCGAATCAAAGTAACAATGTTGATAATTTGATAGAGGAAACAGACTCCTTTGATACCCAAATGGATAAAAACAAACAACTTAACCTCTGCTGCACTGTAATTCCCTGAGAAAAGGTGGCTACTCCAAATAATCGGACATCTATAAATTTAAGAGCGCCCATACCCTCTGGCACGTTCTTTTAGCCACACACAAACAATTATGGTGCACTTGTTCAAAATGCAAATCAAATCGGCTCACCCTCGATTCCCTGCTCAAGTCATCTCCCAACTTCAATACCAGGGCCCGTGCTTTGCTTTCCGCTTCCCGTGATTTCTCCTCAGCTGAAAACAACAAAACGAGATATTGTTTCACTTAGTGAGCATTAAGAATCCAGAAACACACAAATACCCGATTAGAAAAATCTAAGAAATTAGAGCTCATGTTTGAAGTTGACTTTGTCCTGAACATCACTATATGACTGCAGCTTTTGGCAATGGTGCTCTGGCCTCTGCAACTTGAATATAAACCTGTTCAGGAAGCTTGCTTTTGCTTTGCCTAATACATCCAAGATGAGGATATGCAAAACGAATACAGGTATGAGAACCTACATCATACCAAATGATGGATTACAGCACTAAATGTTAAGATGAGCACATTCTGCATTTTCAGTGATCAATGCTTCCTTAATGGCTTAACAAGCCACATGATAGAGTAATGCACGGACCAAAATGGGTTTCAATACCCTCAACTGATAGCTCCACCTAGTACAACAAACTCCCTTAAATCGTGCTGTTAAATAGGATTAGGAATACATGCCCGAGTGGAAAGTAAAATAAATTGAATGGGTTGGCTCGGCTTCATTTTGTGCCTTTTACGTTACAAAAGTCCTCATAGCCAAGCCCATGTACCTATGCCATGCCAATTCTCTCCATATCCTGTAACAGCTCCACAAAATTAATTTATTCAACCATAATTTTGGCAATTGCTGTCAATTCTTCTAATCTAATTCTCCTCAATCTCCTAGGGACATATAATGTTATCTTCACAAAAGTAAAACAAACTGTTATTGATTTAATAAATTGAGCAGAAGTCAGTCATTCAGCCCATCAAGTCTGCTCCACTTTCCTCATAAGCCTTGATTCCCTTAATGATTAAAAAACGTTTCTCAGTCAGATTAAGGACAGCACTATTAGAATTTATAGAATCATTCAGAATTAAATCTATAAATCTGCCCTGCCCGCAGTCAAATATGCAACTGAGAACAGTATGTTCTGATGTAAAGTGGCGAAGTACCAGTACTCTCAAAACTTTACTTCAGCAGAGGTCACTGAATTGTAAGTAGAAGGAACTTTTCCTGCTTCCCCCGTCAAGTATAATGTGCCAACTTATTTCCCTTCATTCCCACCTGAAAACCATTTAATTCAATATAAACCAGAACTTAACTTGGGGTAAACCGGGCTGACACAGCTAACTTCCATCCAAGGGGTGCATTTAGCTGACAAATAATCAAGATACAACCACTGAAAAACATTTCTAATGCTTCATTTATAACATTTAACATCCTTAAAATTATAAAATGGAAAAATGTTACATATTATTCTTCCTGTCTCAACATACCTATTTTCATCAGATGTTCAGCTTTTTTCACTTCCTGTTCTGCACGGGTCTTAAACCGATTTGATGAATACTTGTACATTCTATGAAACGGAGAGAAGTTAATCAGAGCACAGACCAAGATGCACTAACTTAAAATTGTCAATGCTAAGATGGTGTATAAAAAGTATTCTCAAATTCAATTTACATATAAAAACTAAGGTTATCTAGCATAGTTATTAATTTATTAAACAATTAATTAGTATTTATTTGATCACCAAACACAAAGAAAGTCTCGTTTTCAAGGAAATAACAACACAGGAATTTGAGAAGGTACTCAGTTCTAAGCTGGTTCCTAAAATCAACTAAATCAGAGCTGCTTCATACTTCAGCTTCATTGAATCACTGCTTTCATATATACAAACAAATCCTAGTCCAGAGTCTTGGGCTCAAAGTCTAGAACTCTAGCTATACTGTCAAGAGGTTTCGCCTTTTAGCAGAGATGTTACTCTGACAGATCTCCTCTTTCAAATGGATATAAAAGATAAATGATACTAATTTGTAAAAGAGCAGAAGAATTTTTCCCCAATAAAAACCGAAACAACTGCAGGATGCTGCAAATCAGATCAAAGATGGAAATTGCTGGAAAAGCTCAACAGGTCTGGCAGCATCTGTGGAGAGAAATCAAAGTTAACGTTTTGGGTTGACAAGGAAGGGTCACTTGACCTGAAACGTTAACTTTGATTTCTCTCCACAGATGCTGCCAGACCTGTTGAGCTTTTCCAGCAATTTCTATTTTTGTCTCCAATATCGTCCCAACATTCAGGTCACCATACATCCTACAACCAATACTATTGAAAACAAATTATCTGTTCATTACCATACTTCTTTGTATAAACCTGTTGCTACTTTTCCTGCACTTCAATAGCAACTTACTTTTGATAGCAATTGCACTGCGCTTAATTGACTGTGAAGCACTTTAGGACATCATGAAATCATGAAATAAGATGCAATTCTCTTATCTATAAAGGTCCCTGATTTTACCTGGGTCTAAACAAGCAGCAGGAGAGTCGTTTTGTTCGGACCTTGTGACCTTGAATGAAAATTCTCATCCTAGGGTCAATGTACAGTACAGCTGTGTATGCCCTGAAGGAACGCCGCTCAGGTTTTCTACAAAATAAACATTTGTATAAGAACAAAAATAATTCTTAAGTCGCCAGCAATCACAGTAATCTTCAGCTGTCTCCTCACTCATAGGAGGCTCAGAGATCTATTTTCCAGAACAGAGGCTAACTACCAGGGTAAGTCTTTCAACCATCTCCACAGTAATATTAAACCATCACAAATTTGACAGGGGGCACAGAGTGGCTGGGTAAGGAGGGGAAAGAAATGAGGAAAAGACACAGAGATCCTCCCATAACAACCTTTAAGCGACACGTACAGAGTACCATTACAGAAAGAGAGAGGGACATCGGGTTAAACTAAGATTTTAAAAAATATTTTAAATGATGGTTATAGTTGAAACTTTATTCATTTTTTTTTCATGCTGAATTGAGAAAATTGGGTAGATAGAAGCAAAATCCTTATTTGTCTTTATAATTCTGTTAACAGTTGACGGTAGCCTGGGAACTAGGTCTTCAGATTTTATCACCACCTTGTTGACTGTTTTTGATTGTTAAATAAGAATATATATGATGTCTGAAAAATTCGAAGTTGATGAACTTTTGTGACAACCATAAACCATTGTGCAGAATTGAAGTTCGGTCTGTGCCTCAATATATTTCGTTTAATAATTAAGTTTATTTGCACTCTAGGATAACAAAAAGACTTCAGAATCAACTTTCTCCATGGAAATGTACAATAAACCGATACTATAATTTTACAGCACCAGCGAGAAAGCACTGCCGTTTAGTGGGACTTCATCCAATGGTTCCACACACAGCAATATTTTGATATGATGCCCTGTATCTAACCCCATGGGTTTACACTCCACATCCATTACTCGAAAAGACAAACTCCAGTTCGTTTCACAGTGATTTTCTCAACTTCTGGGATTATGTCAAATCGTCAGTAAAGTGTCAAGTTTATTAATGACAAATTAATCTGCTTAAAGTGGTTTAGCTTTGCCAAACCAAAATGTCCCAATAGTGTTGCTGTCTAACTACTTACACTCCTTCAAGTTGTGGTCCAGCCATCAGAATATCTGTAGGATCAGAGGTAACATCCAGTTCTGGTTCCCCATTATCCATCAGTTTAAGGTTGTAAACTATCACCAATGTTCCTGCAAAGGATTCAAAATAATCATTAAGGATGCAGCAAAATATTAAATAAATACTTAATTAAGAATACGGAAGCATTAACATCCTTTGACATATCATAAATTTTATGGACATTCTTTAAAGTTTCCCCAAAGTTCGTAAACAATTAATGGAAGAATCATAAAATGTCAAAGCACAACATTTTGCCCCTCAATGCAATGCTTTTCTTCACAAACTTGCTAGTCAAATGCTACTTTCTTTCTTGCTCATCACACTCATATCATTACTTTTTCTCAAATAGCTAAGACCTTATACAATTAAACTCAGTTCTTAGCTTAAGACATTGGCCTAATTTCTGCTCCTTTTGGCCCATCGAGTCTGCTCTGCCATTCAATCATGGCTGATAAGTTTCTCAAACCATTCTTCCGCTTTCTCCCCATAACCCTTGATCCCTTTGACAATCAAGAACCTGTCTTAAATATACTCAATGACCTGGCTTCCACAGCCTTCTGTGGCAATAAATTCCATAGATTCACCACGCTCTGGCTGGAGTTTCTCCTTATCTCCATTCTAAAGGGTCTTCCCTTTATTCAAAGGTGTGCCCTCGGATCCTCGTCTCGCCTGCCAATGGAAACATCTTCGCAATGTCCACTCTGTCCAGGCCATTGAGTATTCTGTAACTTTCAATTAG